AAAAAATAAGAACCAAGATACATCATGTAAAGGTACAAGATCCCAATGATGAATGTAACTGTATTTTATACCTAAAATGTACCAATAAACTTAACGGAAAAAAAAACAAAAAGAAATGTAGGACGGGGAAAATCTCAACAAATAATCAAAGGTTCGTTCCACTGTCACCATTGGCCTTGACCAATGGAAAATCTACAACAGGGATGCTTCTTGGGCCTCTCTGTCTCTCGTGCCCATTACACACACACAAACACACACCCCAAAATTTTATCATTATACAGGTCATGATCACCCACTGCCAGATAGTGGCTCACCCCAAGCCCACTATAGCTGACTTGCAAGCCACCTCCCACCCCAATAATTTCTGGAATCAAGACTGATAGTGTTACATCCCCTGGGGCCCTCAGCTAAAACAACATTCCCAGCCCTCAGTAGGCTGTTGGTACAAGTGAGGTCACATTAATAATTCAGATGTTGGTGACTCAGAGCTCTCACCTACTAGTGAGAGGATTCAGCCTTCTTCAAATTCTCCTCAGGGTTTCTCTGAGACCTCTGGTTCCTGTGCTACCCTCAATGACATCTGCCACTTGCAGGCTTCTACAGGAGGCCCCTCCTTGCTAGTATCCCCACCAGTGACAACAACACTTCCTTCCTGTGCCTCTCAGAGCTGCACACACCAAACCCCCAAAATTTCCTGCAGTGCTCACTGTGGCCCTGGGTACATGCACTCATATTCCATACTTAACTGAGGAAGTGGCCTGCTCTCCCTGCCAGATCCCAAAGCAACCTTACTCAGAACCCAAATCTCACAAAGGGCTTTGTGAAAGCTGCATATTTAGTCTCTACATTGGAGCCTCTACTCAAGAGATGAGGATCTGAACCTTGGCTTTAGACTAGGAAGAGGAATACCAATGTGGTTTTAGCCTCTCTCTCTCTCTCTCTCTCTCCCTCCCTCCATCCCTCCCTCCCTCTCTTCATCTCCAACTCCTGAGAGCAAAACTTCCTCCTCAACAGCCATCTTTCCCCACAAGCACACCCTGTGCATTACGGACCAGGAGCTCACCTGGCCTGGCCTGGCCATGTCCCCTCAGTCAGGTGGACCCACCTAAGATAATAGAGGTCTGAGGAATAGCAGTGATCTTAGGTATGGATACTGAGCTGAATAATTTATGGACAGCATGTCATTTAGCACTCATCTTCAAATTGGGAAGCATAAGCCCCAGTTAAAGAAACTGGCACCGAAGGCCAGTGGGCAGAAAGGGAAGAACTGAGGTACAACACAGTTGTCCCCTCTACCACCACCCAAAGCCCATGCTCTTCCCAAGTGGCCTCCCCCAGCCAGCCTGAGGGTGTCTCCTAAACCTTCCTTCAGTTTCAGGATGGGGTTTAGAGGTAGAGGAGGGAAAAGCATGAAAACTCAGGCCATGCTGGGAGATGGGTTTGTAGTGATCTTATGTTTCGGTCCTAATTGTCACAGTGAATTGTCCCTGCACTTGTGGAAAATGTATTCTGGGGGGATCAAGACAGGGCATACACTTGAACTGATGTCCTAAGAAACTCAAAATAAATTGGCCATGTTGGCATCTGCCTGTAATCCCAGCACTTTGAGAGGCAGAGGCAGGAGGATCACAAGTTTGAATCTAGCCTGCTCAACTCAGCAACTTAGCAAGACCTTGTCTCAAAATAAAAATTAAAAATGGCTAGGGATGTAGTTCAGTGGGTAGGCCCTGGATTTAATTCCCAGTAATACCAAGAAAAAAGAAAAAGAAAAGAAAAAAACTAATATAGTCTCTCTCTCTCTCCCTCCCTCCCTCCCTTCTCCCTCTCAGAACCCAGGGGAGATTTTTTTCTTGAGCATTTCCAGACTGCATGGGGTCCCAGAGAAGATACTTTTGCCTTTATAGATAGAGGAAAGGGAAGAAGAAAGTGTGAGTGTGTCATAGGGACCCTAATAGGGTTGGGTTTGCTGTGGGAGGAGAACAGCTTGGGCTCTCCGCACCTGCCGCAGCAGCAGGCAGCCCTTCCCACGCAGCAGGACCCGCAGGAGTTAGCGCGGAAAAGCTGAGTAGCTGCCCTCCAGCCCAGGACCACAGGCTCAAGGAGGGCAGCAGGGTATCAGCACAGGCAGGCTTGCAGAGTCTCGGCTTCATCAAACACCAATCATAATCATATCACCATAATTAATTACCACATTACATTACTATGTTTTCCTTTTTTTTTTTTTTTTTTTT